GAGGGATGTCCCACCGGTGGGACTCGGTCCCACCGCCCCGGGCCGTGTCACCCCGCCTGTTCTCTCCGTGCCGGGAAATGGGACTTGCCTCCCTCCCTGCCCCGCGGGGCTCACACCCACGGGAGCGTCCCCTGCGCTCTGAGCTCACACCGCGGGAATGTCCTCTGCTCTCTGCGCACACAGTGCCCCGTAAAAGTTCACCTGGAGGCTATTCGGGCAGGAAGGGCTGGCAGCGAAGTGAGATTTGGAGTGAGGTTTTTCCTGGGAGTTTACCTCAGACCTTGTCCTCAGAGCAGGGACAGTGTCCTGGGGAGGGTCCGGGGTGGTGACCACGAGGAGAAATCAGATGCTATAGAATAATAGAATCCCTGAGTGGTTTGAGTTGGAAGGACCCTGAAGCTCCTCTAGTTCCACCTCCCACCAGCTGCTCCAAGCCCCATCCAGCCTGGCCTGGAACACTCCCAGGGATGGAGCAGCCACAGCTGCTCTGGGCAACCTGTGCCAGTGCCTCAGCACCTCACAGGGAGCAATTCCTGCCCAATATCCACCTGTCCCTGCCCTCTGGCAGTGGGAAGCCATTCCCTGTGTCCTGTCCCTCCAGCCCTTGTCCCAAGTCCCTCTGTAGCTGTCTGGGAGCCCTTTGAGGTACTGGAAGGAGCTATAGGGTTAGGGGTGATGATGGTGGTGACACTGGGACTGGATGACCTCGAAGGTGTTTTCCAACCCTGATGAGTCTGTGAACCACAGACGTATAAAATGGATTATTTATCTGACAGGGTTTGTGTGCATTGCCTGTTTGTGTTGCTAGAATGGGCCACTATCTTCTGTTTCACTCTCCATACCAACAACTGTGGAAGGACAATGAAATCAACACAGGAACAGACGACTCATGGATACTTCACCCCACTTTAGGCTTTCTTGTATTCTGTTTCAAGGAAGGAAAACAACTGCGTTTTTGTCACAAAGTGCTGATTAATGAGACTTAATGAGACTTAATTATACTTAATACCTCTTGCCATGACCCACCCTTAAGGGGAAGGAAACACCTCTTACCTTTGAAGGTTTCTCTCTCCCCAACCTAGGGGGATTCCCTAGGTTATTCCCCTAGTGAGACTGGAGCTCTGCTTGGAAGAATTGAGTTTGATAATCTCAAGGAGATCTCAGGGAGAGGAAAACTCAGGTTTCACAGTCCCAGGGAGAATTCCTGCCCTGAGTTTGGGCAGTACCATGTCAGTCATGCACAGCAAATGGTACCACAAAGACTCCCTGGGAGGCATTGGGCAGGTGACTTGTGTTGCATAAGCTCAGGAGGCACCAGGATTTACATGAAGTATATTAAATGTTCCATAAAACATATCATATGTGAGTCTATTAAATCAGTGACACTGGTCTCTAGTGGTGCTGGAGTCTGGCTGCAAAGAGGGCTTTGAGCCAGGCAGAGGCAGCAGACGGTGCCCAAGTTGGGGTGTCTGAGCAGCTGCTGGAGGAAACACACTGATGTTTGGGGTTGGTTCCTCCACAGTGTCTGCAATTGTACCGAAGCCTCAGAATGCAAGAATTACCTCAGTCAATCTGCACAGCACTTTGCAGTGGGATGCACCAAGGTTTCCCAGAGGGAGTATCAGCTACACCGTCAGGGCCAAGAGGTAGGTCTGGGACGTGGTGTTTAATCCACCTTTTGTTTCCTTTCCAGAGCTCTGTCAGGATCTGTTCCTTCCTTTTGACTTCCCAGAGGTTTCTCTGCTGACCTCAGTAAGAGTTCTGCTCTGGGCAACCTGTGCCAGTGCCTCAGCACCTCACAGGGAGCAATTCCTGCCCAATCTCCACCTGTCCCTGCCCTCTGGCAGTGGGAAGCCATTCCCTGTGTCCTGTCCCTCCAGCCCTTGTCCCAAGTCCCTCTCAGCTCTCCTGGAGCCCCTTGAGGCACTGGAAGGGGCTCTGAGGTTTCCCTGGAGCTTCTCTTTTCCATGTTTAGTGGAAGGAAGATTTTTTGGGCTCCTGGTAACCTTTGCCTGTTGATCACTACATTCCTGGTGACCTTTAGATGCAAACCAGAAAGAATATTCTATATTGATCAAGGCTGGATGGGGCTTGGAGCAGCCTGGGCTGGTGGGAGGTGTCCCTGCCCAGGGCAGGGGGGACACTGGATGGGCTTTAAGGTCCCTCCCAACCCAAACCTCCTGTGATTCTATTCCATAAGCAGTTCCAGGTCACTTCTCAGCCTCTGTTTTGGCTTTTCCTTACATGCTTATCATGGAGGCAGCTGTGAGCAAAGTCCAGGTTGGAGAGCAGAGCTGTGCACAGGGATATTGATTGCCTGGGTATTTGCAGAGTTGTCTGGTAACTCCTGTCTGGTGGATCAGGGGCTGGAACCACTGCCAGGAAAAGGGAATATATTCACTCAGTCAGAACTTCCATCTGACTTTATGGTGGATTTGTATCACAGAGTCACAGACTGATCAGGGTTGGAAGGGACCTCTGGAGCTCACCCAGTCCAAGCCCCTGCCCAGGCAGGTCACCTAGAGCAGGTGACACAGGGACACCTCCAGGTGGGTTTGGATGTCTCCAGACAGGGACACTCCACACCCTCCCAGGGCAGCTGTCCCAGTGCTCTGCACCTCCACAGATAGAAGCTCTTCCTCATGCTGAGGTGGAACTTGGTGTGGTTGTGTTATGGTTATCACTCCCCATCCTGTCCCTGGGCACCTCTGACCAGAGTCTGGCACCATCCTGACACCCCTGGGAGACATTTGTAGGGATTGATGGGATCCCTCTCAGTCGTCTCCTCTCCAGACTAACCAGGCCAACTTCCTACAGTCATCTTTGTGGCCCTCCTGGACCCTCTCCAGTGTCTCCCTGTCTTGCCTGAATTCTGTGTGATCCTTATCCATACCCCGAATCTACTTCTTCTTACTTCTGTGCCAGAACTTCTCCTGTTCATCAAGTGGAAAGACTTGCAGTTACAACTAGTAAGTAGTTCTAACTTACACATCACATGTTTCTCTTCCCTGCAGCATCAATTTCCCTGGAGAGGCCTATGAAAACGTGACGACAAACCTGAGCCTGACAGAGTGTGACATCTCTTCCCTGTCTGCCTACGGGGACTATGTCCTGCAGCTCAGAGCAGAGGCAGGACAGGACCATTCTGACTGGGTCACCCTCAGGTTCAAGCCAATGGATGACAGTAAGGCTTTTCTTCCCCACAAAATGCTGCTCCCAATGCTCCTAGACAATTTGGCTCCATGAGAGAAGCTCTGGGATGCAGATCACGTTTCAACTTAATGATGTTGAACTGTAAAATCAGAGTTGTAACACTTGAAGGCAGAAACAGAGTAAGTTGTGGTATTGGTAACCTGAAATCTCTTCTGAGGAGAGATTCATGGATTCATAGAATTGTAGGGGTTGGGATGGAGCTTGGAGACCACCCAGCCCCAACCCCTGCCCTGGGCAGGGACACCTCCCACCAGAGCAGGTTGCTCAAGGCTCAGCCAACCTGGCTGTGAACACTGCCAGGGTTGGGGCAGCCACAGCCTCCCTGGGCAACCTGGGCCAGTGTCTCACCACCTGCACAGGGAAACCTTCTGCCTAAGATCTCACCTAATATTCCCTCTCTCCATTTCTCCCCATTGCTCCTTGTCCTGTCCCTGCAGCTCCTAACACAGATCCCTCTGCAGCTTCCCTGAAGCCCCTTCAGCTCCTGCAGGTTGCTCTGAGGTCTCCACACAACCTTCTCTTCTCCAGGTCGAACAGCCTCAACTCTCTCCTAGGGAAGCTGCTCCAACCCTCTGATCAGCTTTGTGGCCTCCTCTGGCCTTGCCCCAAGTATTTTAGGTTCTTTAGTTAATACAACCCAAGAATTTTTCTCCAGTAAGACAAACCCACACAGGAAACTTCTGTTCACCAGTGAGAAAAACCTTTCAAATGTGCTTCTTTTCTGCCTCCATTTGCATCAGTTTCCTCACTCCTGGATTCTTGAGTGGAATTTTACAGTGAACAGCATTGGTTTTCGAAAGGTTTTTCCTGGTTATCTCCTCAAACCCACTACAGTGGCACAATTTCATCAGCCTAGAGCAGAAGACTGAACCATGGATGGAAAAAATGCAACTCTGGAGCTGTCAGCCAGAGGCAAGGAGGAAGAAAGTGTACTGAGATGCAATAAAAAGGTGTGGATGGGTTCTCAGAGCAGAGAGCAAAGTGGTGAATAATTAACAGAGGTGTCCTTTGACATACATTTGAGGTCATGTGGCCTTCAGAGCAGATTCAGGGTGTGGAGTGTCCCTGTCTGGAGACATCCAAACCCACCTGGAGGTGTCCCTGTGTCACCTGCTCTAGGTGACCTGCCTGGGCAGGAGCTTGGACTGGGTGAGCTCCAGAGGTCCCTTCCAACCCTGATCAGTCTGGGATTTAGCTGTGCAGGTTTAGAACATTCCTCTGCACCTTCCCTGACTGAACCATGTCCTGTGCTGTCTCTATCTCTCTTTGCAGCTCCCTAAGGAGATCCCTGGAAATCTCTACCCCACCCTAACCCTAACCCTGAGTGCTGAGGCCTTGGCACAGCTTGGCCAGAGCAGCTGTGGCTGCTCCATCCCTGGGAGTGTTCTAGGCCAGGCTGGATGGGGCTTGGAGCAGCCTGGGCTGGTGGGAGGTGTCCCTGCCTAGGGCAGGGGTGGCACTGGATGAGCTTTAGGGTCCTCCCAACCCAAACAATTCCTTAGACATTTTATAGCATGTCTGTGGCCAGACAGAACTTTAGTAGGAGCAACCAGGGCAGAGTTTGCTGGAATTACATCAGATTTATGGAACTGTAAGTTCCTTGTGAGATAATTAAGCTGGTGCCACAACACCGTGACAAGGACGAGGCATTTGCAAAATGTTCACAAGGAACAAACAGTCAGAGATGGAGAAACAATTCACAGAGTCACTGAGGTGGGAAAAGCCCTCTGAGACCACCAGGTCCAACCTGTGACCCATCACCACTTCACAGCTAGCCCAGAGCTCTGAGTGCTACGTCCTGAGCTCCTGGGACACCTCCAGGGGTGGTGACTCCACCACCTCCCTGGACAGCACATCCCAATTCCAATGCTTCTGTTTGTCAAAGTGATCACAGTGAACAAACCACACCAAATCCCTTCCCTGCTCAGGAAGGACAGATGTGGCAGCTTGGCCAGAAGGAGAAGTGGGTAGTAACCATGGGCGTAGTCCTTCCTCTCCCAGGAGTGACCACAGGCGGCCGGAGGGAACTGGGCTGGCTGAGGGTGTGGGCGATGGAGTTTGCAGTGGTGTCTGTTGGTTAACTGTGAGAAATCCCTTCCCAGAGCAGCTCTGGAAGGAAAGAATTGATTTATGCCTGAAGAAATCACTTTCTCCTAACAGATCAAATTATTTAAAAGGTGAATTATCTCGGGATGTCTAAGGATGTCAAACTGAAACCAGGATGGAGCTGAATCCCCTTCTTTCTTCTCTCCCACCACCCACAGCTCTCATTGGGCCTCCCGAGGTGAAGGTGAAGTCGGAGTCTGGGTCTCTGCACGTGGATTTCTCAGGTCCTTTTGCTGACCATGATGAGGACAAGTGGCCCCTGAGGCAATATTATGGCTCCTGGAATTACAGGATCTGGTACTGGAAGAAAGGCAGCAAAGCAGCCCTGACCTCCTCTGCCTGGGTATTGTCCTCTGTGGCTTTCCTCTCTGCTTTTCCTGCTCAAACACCATCCTGGTGAAGCTCCTGGAGGCTGTCCAGAGAGGGTGTGGATTCCCCATCCCTGGGAGTGCTCCAAGCCAGGTCAGATGAGGCTTGGAGCAGCCTGGGCTGGTGGGAGGTGTCCCTGCCCGTGGCAGGGGTGGGATGGGATGAGCTTTGAGGTCCTTCCCACCCAGCCCAGTCTAGGATTCTGTGATGATTCTGTGACTGAAAGGAACCTATATATATAAACAAGATGAGCTTTAAGGTCCCTCCCAAACCATTCCATGATTCCATGGCCCTGGAGCCAGGCTGGGAGAGCTCAGGGTGTTCAACTGGAGAAGTGTTTCGTTCTGCCCTTCAAAGCCTCTTTCATGCTGCAGCTCTGTCCTACTCAGTGTAATTGTCATTCCTGAGCTAAGTCCTTAGCTAAGTCCTTAGCTCCTCATCCCTGCTTTCAGACTCCTCGAATGTGTTGTCCTCTCCTCTTTTCAGGTACCTCATGTAGATACTAAACACAACTCTGAAATCTTAGCCCAGCTGGAGCCATGGACAGTTTACTGTGTCCAAGTGCAAGGAGTGATCCCTGAGTGGAACAAGACAGGAGAGCTGAGCAGGGAACTGTGTGAACAAACCACGCACAATGGTAACTCCTGGGGCTGTGCTGGGGGGAACTGGGAAACCCATGGAAGGGTTGGGCTGGGAGGGACTTAAACCCATCGAGTGCCAACCATGGGCAGGGCACCTCCCACCAGCTCAGGCTGCTCCAAGCCCCATCCTGGCCTGGTGCACTCCCAGGGATGAGGAATTCCATAGAGAAAATTATATTTTGAGCATAATTACTCAAGAAATTAATAACTAGAGTTTTAATTGCCTTCTCCCTGTCTCTTACAGGTGTCACTCCTGTGTGGCTCATTGTGACTGTGCTGATTGGGTCCATGTTGGTCGTTTTTGTATCTATTCCTGTTTGTTTCTTCTCCTCCTTTTACCTGTATCGACTCACCAAACATGTTTTCTTCCCTTCATACACCTTCCCTCAGCACCTGAAAGAGGTTTGTTTCTGCCTAACACACACCAATCAGCTTTTTCAGCAGCACCACTTGCTTCTCCAAGGCTCTTGGGGCCAAAAACCTTTAGAGCTTCTTTATTTTGCCCTTGCATTTGCACCTGATGCTCAGTGATCTTGTGAGGTGTAAAGAGCTGCTTTAAATGGCTCAGAAACAGAAGAGTTTTTTTCTTTTGAAGTGAGAGATTAACAGGTGCCAACTTTAGTTCCTCATTTGAACCAAGAGCTCTGTATCTCCTGCCTCCTCTGAGGCTTAGAATAGCACTTGAGTTCTCCTGCAGCAAAGTTCTGTCACAGGTGTGACCACGAGTTTTAATGGAAGTGAAGTGACCTGGGGTAGACTAACTGCGCCAGAGCAGCCTGGGCTGGTGGGAGGTGTCCCTGCACAGGGCAGGGCTGGCACTGGGTGGGCTTTAGGATCCTGCCAACCCAACCCATTCCATGACTCTGCCCATGTAAAACACTCTAAGGTATCAGACAGGGACCAGGTGACAAGAACAAGGTGCAGTGGTCCTGCTCCAGCAAGTGCCCTGGACCTGCCCCTGGGCTACCCCACCTGTCACTGCTCTGTGCAGCTCAGCTGGTGTCCTTGTGTTGGCTTCCAAATGCTGTCACAACCTCCTCCAAAGTCCAGGTTGTTTCCTGAGGCTGGTTCAACCTGTTAGTGGAACAGGGAGTGGGAGGAGGTTGTGATATTCCAGGACTAAAATGAAGTCATTTTCTCTTTGAACCTTGTGGCCCTGCAAATCTCCTTCCTTTGTCCTTTGGGATTGTTGGCTGTGTTGACAGAGCATCACTGTGGTGTCTCTGCTCTCTGAGGTGTCAGGAACAAGTCACATTTCACAGCACCACAGAACCTCCTGGGCTGGAGGGACCCCCAAGGATCATCAGTCCAACTCCTGGCCCTGCACAGCCCCAGCAATCCCAACATGTCCCTGGGAGCATTGGCCAGTGATTCTCGGAGCTCTTAAGACAAATCTCCCTGTGAGCTCCTTCCTCTTCACCCAAATCACCATTTGTGTTTGTCTCCAAACAAAACTTAGGAGTTTGATTTATTGTAAGGCAAGTTTATATCCCAAAGATCTCTCTCAGCCCTGGGGTTCTTCCAGCAAATAAAGGCACTTCCAAGCCTGGTACAGGATGTCACAGCCGGAGGGGACATGACATTGGTGTCCCTGTGTGAAAAGCAAGGCAGATGGTTCAGTGTGTGAAGAGCAAGGAGGGTGGTACAGTGTATGAAGAGCAAGGAGGATGGCTCAGTGTGTGAAGAGCAAGGATGGTTCATGGTTCAGAGAGCTCTAACTCCCCTCTCCTGTGCTGCAGTTCCTGAACAAGCCCCCGAGCTCTGCGCCGTCCTTCTGCCCAGCGCCGCGCGAGGAGCAGCTACACTGGGACTGGGTCACCGTGGTGGCTGAGGAGCCTCAGGAGCAGCGTGAGGAGAGCATGGCTGAGGAGACACCTCCAGAGCAGCTCCAGGGTTCAGCACATTCCCACTCTGCAGCTGGAGCACCTCCAGGAGAGGCCTGACCGTTCACCCACCGCCACCTCGGGGCATGGGGAGCAACTCCATGCGCCAGGCAGGAGGAGCCCCTGGAGCTGGGGCAGGTTTGGGTCAGGACACCTCGACTGAGAACAGGAGCTGAAGGACACAGGATTTGTGCCACTGTTGGCAGCAACAACCAGAGGAGCCAGGGAATGCCTGGCACGACATGGGAAAGATTTGGGACTCATGGACACAATGGATAGTTGTGTATTTCTGTGTGGAATATGTGTACCTACATATTCCTGTGTAATTAAACATCTGTGTGTAAATTGGTGTATTTATATATGTATATATAGTGTATAATATTATGTATATACATATAGACTTATCTGCT